AGTCAAATTCGGCGGCTCCCATTGAAGAAAACAATACAATTGCCGTTGACAAAATTATAGAGGATATTGTAGAGAGAAAATCGGATTGGAAATTTTGGAGAGAAGAAAAGCGTTAGAAATTGAGATATTAAATAAAGTGGGTTGCTCAATTTCAATTTGGGGTGTGGATTCACACAGGTTTATTTTTCTTCTCTACATTATATAAATTGGGAATTTCTCTAAAATATATTTTGGATTTGTATTCAAAGTGGGTTCTTACAAGTTTGATCAAATTGTTGATTTGTGGTGAGATAAATTATTGTCTTAGAGATAGATTATTGTGGTATTTTCAATTTGTGAAGAATTCAAGTTTTGGGGCATAAACTTGAATATTGTAATCTGTATTAATTATTATAGTAGATTTTGGTCGAAGTTGCCCCGTGATTTTTTTATTCTACACTGGAGGGTTTTTTCCACGTACAAATTTGGTGTCCCATTTTCTTATTTTTACTTGAATTATTTATTTCCATAGTTAATTCTTTTAGTTAATTGCTTGGATTGGTAAAATTATTCTTACAATTATTGAAATTTTCCAACAAAGTGGTATCAGAGCCAGGTTGTGTGGGTATTATCTTATTGCGGAATAAATGGAGAATACTTCGGGCACTATGATTAAATTGTCAGCTTCAAATTATTCTATTTGAAAGCCTATGATGGAGGATATCTTGTATTGTAAAGATTTACATGAACCTATTGAAGGTGATAGTGCTAAGCCAAGTAATGTGAGCGACAGTGACTAGAAGAAGATGAACACGAAAGCCATTGAATATATTAGACACAGGGTTGACATTAATGTTTTCCATCATATATCTCAAGAGACAGATGTACATAGTCTTTGGGAAAAATGGGAAAGTCTCTATGAGAGAAAAATCGTTCAAAACAAAGCTTTTTCTATTAGAAAGCTTGTGAATCTGAAGCTAAAGGAGGGAAAATCAGTTGCTGAGCATTTGAGTAAATTCCAAGACTTGATAAACCAGTTGACCACAATGAAAATAGTGCTAGATGTTGAGATGCAATCACTATTACTTCTGAGTTCATTGCCTGATAGTTGGGAGACTTTGGTGATATCACTCAATAACTCCGCTCCGAGTGGTATGCTAGAACTTACTCTATCTAAAGATAGTTTGTTTAATGAAGAAATAAGAAGAAAAGACTTGGGTAGGAATGATGCACATGCTCTTATTACAGAGAACAGAGGTAGTAGTAAAAGCAAAGGTCCTAAGGGACGTGGTAATTTCAGAAGTCAGTCAAAGACAAGAGGGAATGTCAAATGTTTTTATTGTGATAAAGAGGGTCATTTAAAGAAACATTGCATGGCTTGGAAAAATGAATTGAAAGAGGAGAAAAATCAAAAGAAGACTGATCAGAATACAACAGCTAGCGCTTCAGAAGAAGAAGAAGTAGTGGTAGTAGTTTTTTCTGTTGAAGATGAGCAGTGTTGTCATGTTGCAAATTCATTTGTTGAATGAGTTATTGACTCAGCGGCTTCTTACCATGTTACTCTAAGACGGGAGTTCTTCACTTCATACAAATTAGGTAACTTTGGCAGGGTGAAAATGAGTAATGACAGTTTTGCCAATATTGCGGGAATTGGTGACATCTGTCTTGAGACAGATATTGGATGCAACTTGACATTGAAGAATGTTTGACATGTTCCTGACATGCACTTGAATTTGCTATCTACACATGCATTTGATGAAGTAGGGTATGACAGTTATTTTGACAATGGAAGATGGAAACTAACAAAAGGGTCCATGATATTTGTTAAAGGAAATGTTTGTTGCACACTTTACAAGACACAAGTAAAGGTGTGTAGTGAAGTGGTAAATTCAACAGAAAGTGATTCTACGCATGACTTGTGGTGCACGCGGTTAGCTCACATGAGCAAGAAATGATTATAGATTTTGGCAAAGAAGTCTCTCATTCCTTTTTCCAAAGGTACATCATTAAATTCTTATTATTACTGTTTATTTGGTAAACAACATAGAGTATCATTTCAGAAATCCTCTAGTAGAAAATCTAATATTTTAGATTTGATTTATTCTGATGTTTGTGGTCCCATTGAGGTGGAGTCCTTATGTGATAATAAGTATTTTCTTACTTTTATTGATGATGTTTTACGAAAGTTGTGGGTATTCTTTTTGAGATCAAAAGACCAGATTTTTCAGCACTTCAAAGAGTTTCATGCCATGGTGGAATGGAAAAATGGAAAGCTTTTGAAGTGTATCCAAACTGACAACGGAGGGGAATATACGTCTAAAGTGTTTAAAGATTACTACTCAAAACATGACATTAGACATGAAAAGACAGTTCTTGGTACCCCACAGCATAACGGTGTTGCAGAGAGAATGAACCGTACAATTGTAGAAAAGGTCAGAAATATGTTAAGGATGGCTGGGTTACCTAAGTCATTATGGGGTGAAGCAGTTCGAACAACATGCTACCTAATCAATCGGTCTCCATTAGCTCCTTTGGATTTCGAGATTTCAAAAAAATTGTGGACAGGAAAAGATGTACCTTACTCTCACTTGAAGGTTTTTGGGTGCAAAGCATTTGCACATGTGGCTAAGGAACAACAGTTGAAGCTAGATGATAAAATTAGTCCTTGAATTTTTGTTAGCTATAGAGATGCGAAATTTGGCTATAGATTATGAGATCCAAAAAAAAAAAGAAACTATTCAGAAGCAGAGATGTGATTTTTCATGAAAATCAGAAGTTGGCAGATGTTGAGAAATCTGGGAATCAAAGGCGTGTTATTGAAGGTGTCACTGACCTTACACCTGTCTCTATGCCTTCAGACAGTGCCACTCAAGGGGGAGAGGCACACGTTGACAATCATGTGATGAGCCGACAAGGGTTACTAAGGATGATTTAGAGGATGTTGAGCAGGAGGAACAACCTACTATATCAGAACCTCATATCGGAAGTTCTACCAGGAAACATCGTCCATCAACCAAGTATCCAGTATCAGATTATGTGTTGGTAATTGATGAAGGGAGTCAGAATGTTTTCAGGAGGTAGAATTTCATAAGGACAAACAAAGTTGGGTGAAGGCTATGTAGGAATAGATGATTTTTTTTGCAGAAAAATAACACTTAAGAGCTAGCAGAGCTTCCTAAAGGTAAAAAGGCATTGAAAAATAAATGGGTGTTCAAGCTAAAGAAAGATGATGAAAAGCTAGTGAAGTATAAAGCTCGATTGGTGGTAAAAGGCTTCGGTCAGAAGAAAGGAATTGACTTTGATGAGATATTTTCTCCTGTTGTCAAATGACTTCTATTCGAATAGTTTTGAGTTTAGTATCTAGTTTGGATTTTGAGCTTGAGTAGTTAGATGTCAAGACCGCCTTTCTCCATGGTGATTTGGAGGAAGAAATCTACATGGTGAAGCCAGAGGGATTTGAAGTAAGAGGAAAAGAACATATGGTTTGTAGGTTGAAAAGAGTTTGTATGGGTTGAAACAGGCTCCAAGACAGTGGTATAAGAAATTTGACTCCTTTATGGTGGGTCATGGTTATACCAGGATAGATGCAGATCATTGTGTCTATGTCAGAGAATTCCATGGTGGTAACTTCACCATCCTTTTGCTATATGTAGATGATATGTTGATAGTGGGACATGATGTTCAGTTAATTCGCAGTTTGAAAGTAGATATGAAGGATCTTGGACCAGCAAGACAAATTTTGGGAATGCATATTCGTCGTGACAGGAAAGCTAAAAAGTTATGGTTATCATAGGAAAAATATGTAGAGAGAGTGTCGGAAAGGTTTGATATGAATAATGCTAAACCTATTGGGACACCACTTGGTAGTCATTTCAAACTGAGTAAGGTGACTTGTCCTTCGAAGGAGGAAGAAAAAAAAAAGAATGGCAAATATTTCTTACTTCTCTGCGGTTGGGAGTTTGATGTATGTCATGGTTTGTACACGGCCAGACATTGCTCATGCGGCTGGGGTAGTCAGTAGGTTTCTTGTTAATTCCGGTAAAGATCATTGGAAGGCAGTGAAATAGATCTTTAGATACCGGAGAGGTACTTCTAAGATGTGCTTGACATTTGAAGGTTCAAAATCAATTTTGGAGGGCTTTACAGATGCAGATATGGCTGGTGATCTTGATGGTAGAAAATCAACTTCAAGATATTTGATTACTTTTGCAGGGGGCTGTCTTATGGCATTCAAAATTACAAAAGTGTGTTGCCTTATCTACAACTGAGGCTGAGTATATTGCAGCAACTGAAGCAGCGAAAGAAATGCTTTGGATGAAACGATTTCTCCAAGATTTGACTTTGAAGTAAGATGTGTATGTACTTAATTGTGACAGTCATAGTGCATTAGACTTGAGCAAGAATGCTACTTATCATTCTCGAACGAAGCACATTGATGTGAGATATCATTGGCTATGACAGGTAGTGTCAAAACAATTGTTATTGTCAGAGAAGATTCATACAGAAAAGAATTCAGCTGATATGATGACAAATGTTGTGACCAGAGAAAAGCTTGAGCTTTGTATCGGACTGACCAGCATGGACTCTAACTAATCTGTTAGAGAATAATCTCCGTCTTCAATGAGCTGGAGGGGGAGATTGTTATATACTTGTCTAGCCCACTAAGCCCATTATGAGAATTAATTGGCCCAAATCTTATATTGTTTGCAATAGGTCAAACATATATAATGGTCAGCAATTGTGGCTGTGAGAGAGAGAGAGACTTTGACATTCAATTGTGTGAGAGGAAAAAACAATTGGATGCCATTGTGGAGTCAAATTCGGCGGCTCCCATTGAAGAAAACAATACAATTGCCATTGATAGAATTATAGAGGATATTGCAGAGAGAACCGGATTGGAAATTCTGGAGAGAAGAAAAGCGCTAGAAATTGAGATATTAAATAAAGTGGGCTGCTCAATTTCAATTTGGGGTGTGGATTCACACAGGTTTATTTTTCTTCTCTATATTATATAAATTGAAAATTTCTCTAAGATATATTTTGGATTTGTATTCAGAGTGAGTTCTTACAAGTTTGATCAAATTGTTGATTTGTGGTAAGATAAATTGTTGTTTTAGAGATAGATTATTGTGGTATTTCCAATTCGTGAAGAATTCAAGTTTTGGGGCATAAACTTGAATATTGTAATCTATATTAATTATTATAGTGGATTTTGGCCGAAATTACCTCGTGATTTTTTCCCCTCTACACTAAAGGTTTTTTCCACGTAAAAATTTGGTATTGCGTTTTCTTATTTTTACTTGAATTATTTATTTACATAATTAATTGTTCTAGTTAATTGCTTGGATTGATAAAATTATTCTTGCAATAATTGAAATTGCCCAACACAAATGTGTAACATAGTCACCAACTAATCCACCCACTTCAATAATGAAATGTTTTTACCCATCTATCTACCTACCACAAGTACCACATCTATATGGCTTATAATGCAATGCACTGAAATAGACACAAGCTGCTCAAGTATTTCCACCTCCTCTTGGCTCACTTCTTTCAGGTATAATCTCTCTCTCTCTCTCTCTCTCTCTCTCTCTCTCTCTCTATATATATATGTGTGTGTGTGTGTGTGTGTGAAGTAAGAACTTGGGTGAATGGCACACTACAATGAGTGGTTTAATCAGTTTTATAAACTATCATTATCTCTTACCACCTATTGTAATGCGTCATGTCATCTTGTGCTTAGCATTGGTGCATCAATTGCAATATGCAATGTGTGTATTTTATGCTTGTGTGGTTGGCATAACTTCTTATAGCATGAACTGTGAATTTCTAGATTAAAGAAAAGGGAGTTTTTTTTTTGTTTTTTTTATTTTTTGGGGGGGGGGGGGGGGTTAAAAGGGAGTTTATTTTTTATTTTTTATTTTTATTTTTTGCTGTTTTTGGTATCTGCTAATTTGATTTGAATGGGCTATAGGGTAATATACATCCATTTCCCCTTTTTTCCCCGAATGAATTGGGCTGAAACTACATATTTTTTTTAATTAGATGATTAAGAGATACTAGTTTTTTTTTTCTTTTTTTAAAATCAATATTCAATTTTGACGAATTGTAAAATTATAATTGTATTAGAAAATTGGAACTCTCCTAGGTGGGGTCCAACCGTAAGTGTTTGTGAAAAATCGATCTGAGGACTGAGATTGTATCTCAAAGTGGCCAGTACACAGAAGACACCACATCTATGATCTAACATACCCCATAAGGTTTTAGAACGATTCCAAGATAACCCATGACTATCTATGAAAATAAATACGAAGTATGCTTCGTGGGATTCATTTTAATCCTATTTTACTTTATATAAATTTTCCTTTTGACGTGGGAGAATATCGAGTTAATTTCTGACAATCTCCACCTTGTATTTTGAATTGTCTAATGCGTTCAAACAGAAATTCTTCAATGTTTTCCTTCAAAGCAAATCGTTGGACTTGAGCATCGGTTCCCTCTCTTTGGTTTTGTGATGTCTCTTGGAAAATGGTTGATGAACCTTTTCATTTATAATCACAATAATCAACATAGAGAGTTGACCTACTCCATCTTAAAACAGCTCGTACCAACTTAGCCCATCGTTGGGGCAAACTCTTTTTTGATGTGATCGATGGGCCGAGGCGGGGCACTGTTTTGTTTTCAAGAGCCAACTCATTTCGAACTTGTGTGCCAGGTCATTGGATTTTGGGTGGCTCAGCTCGACTCATGAGACCCAAAAGCCAAAGGGCCGAACTGAGCCTATTTTGTGGACACGAGTTGAGCCCGTGTGTCCAACTCAGCTTATTGCCACCTCTACCTCAAAGAGTATATACACTTCGAACTTGTTAAAAATTAGGAAAAAACTATTCTACCAGATTGATTCTACTAGATTTTGTACAAATTACTCACAATGGGATGTGTCCCACCCAATTAAAAAATGGCACAAATAATACCACACCCAATTGCCTGTACAAAGCCCGTTCAAATGAATTTGGTACTATAGCACTTTTCTAAAAATTATAGTGCCATGCCCATGTTTATTTAACTTGGGAGTTCATAAGTGATCGACATAAATTTCACCATAGCCAAACCAATTCTTGTGCACAAATTTGCGGTTCCGCTAATAGTAACAAGTATTCTTTGATAACAACTTGTTGATCTACTGCATGCCATTATTATTTGACAGCTAGCATCTCCATTTAATGACTTCGAGCAATTAACAAACTTACTCTACATTTTGAACTACTTTTCTTGAGGGGTCCAAATTGTCCATATCAATTGAAAAATGGTGTTGATTCTCCTTTCAAATCCTTGTGTAACTCATTAGCTAAAATTAATTTTCCAGACAAACTTTTCTAGGTCGACATTTGTGCATGACATTTCTACGCTATTAGCTCGGTGAATGTATATGTGAATATTACTCGTTAGGTAAATTCCTAAGGTCATGGAAAGTCACAACGGTTTGATTTAAAATCCAGTCTCGTACACATAATCTCCATATATCATATGATTCTTATAAATTATTACACCAAACTTCAAGACATTGGAGAACCCGTGATATGATACAACATCTTGGAAATTTAGGGTGCCTTCTAGATTCGCCCCTCCAGTATTATCGTACAGGAAAATATCAAGATGAACAAAGAAATAAAAATTGAAGAAATTAATGATAAAAGGAACACAAAAATTATTAGGAAAACTCTAGGAGCATAGAAAAACTACGGGCCATGGAATAAATTTCACCATTTAAAAATGTGTTGTGCTCACACAAATAGCATGCAAGACTATTAATGAAACATGTTATAAAGTGAGTGCAAAAGGAAGAGAGATATTCTCTTGTGAGTTAAAGATTGGATATAGGGAAATAGCATTTAACGTGGATCGAAGTGTGTTATTGATCGCTCAATATTTTACTTTGTGAAAATCTCAACGTTTAATATCTTGGGATATATGTCACATAAATTGTTGGTTTCAGACACTTACGAAAGATATTCAATACTTCGGTTTTTATATTTTCAGCTATGTCTTGGAAAATTATGGTAGTCTTGTTGATTGGATTTCTAGCATGGGCACACCAGTCCTTTAGGCCACCACCTCCCCGCATTTGTGGTTCTCTTGGCGGTCCACCGATTACAGGACCCCGGATCAAGCTTAGGGACGGAAGACATTTGGCCTATAAGGAGCATGGAGTCCCCAAAGAAACAGCTAAATATAAGGTCATCTTGGTTCATGGCTTCTCCTCGAGTCGACATGATGCTGCTCTTGCTACATCGGTATTATTATATCTCGTTGTTAAGTTAGTTAAATTTCTTCTTGCATCGACTAAATTTTTGCTGTTGCTAAAGAATCAATGTATTTTTTGACCTTTTAGCCATTGGTCGAAGAATTGGGAATACACTTCGTGTCTTTCGACAGACCAGGTTATGGGGAGAGTGATCCGGATCCCAAAAGAACCATAAAAAGCACAGCTTTAGATATAGAAGATCTTGGAGAACAACTAGAACTTGGTTCCAGATTTTATGTCATTGGATTTTCCATGGGAGGAAATGTTGTGTGGGGATGCCTCAAGTACATTCCACACAGGTAATATGTTGGTACATCAATTATCATGGAGTTTCTGTTATTTTTCAAGTTTAACCATCTGTGTTATCCTCTGACTGCATTTATAGTATTTTTACATGTTTCTTTAATTCTCACATGATGCAGGCTGGCAGGAGCAGTATTGATTGCTCCAGTTATCAATTACTGGTGGTCTAATTTTCCTGCAAGCCTATCTACAGTGGCATACAATCAACAGCCCTGGGAGGACCGGTGGGCACTTCGAGTGGCACACTATATACCATGGCTCGTCTACTGGTGGAACACACAGAAGTGGTTTCCTTCCTCCAGTGTCACGGCAGGAAGACCAAATCTTTCGGCCTCAGATTTGAAAATGGTTTCCGAATTAGCTGAAAGAATGATAGGCAGGGTACTGATTTTTTTGTGTCCCTGTGAATGCACATTATATTTCAATAGATATATACGTTGATTTTAAACCTTACTTGTGTATAGGAATATGCAACTCAGCAAGGAGTATTCGAGTCCCTCCATAAAGACATGATGGTCGGGTTTGGGCAATGGGAATTTGACCCTATTGATCTCGAGAACCCTTTTTCCGATAGAGAAGGTTCTGTTCATTTGTGGCACGGTGTTGAGGATGGATTGGTGCCTGTTTCACTGCAACGCTTCATTGCCAGGAGGCTTTCTTGGGTACAATACCATGAAATACCAGATGCAGGACATCTGTTTGCTTATCCTGATGGTGCTATAAAAGACTCAATCTTGAAAACACTTTTGACAGGGTAGAACAAGTAACCGCAGTATAGGTTGTTATGTGCTTCTTGAACCGTGTTTCTGATACTTAATTCCTCGTGTCATGATTCTGTACAATTTGACTCAAGACATGCATTTAAATTGCATTGCGAATTTAAATTTTGATTTAGTGGCCGTTATTTTCAGAATTTGATGTAAATTCAAAAGCTGTGTTAGTGCTACATCTCTCAAATCCATGAAGAAGCCTTAAATTTATTTGGTATCATTGTGTATAAACAAATTTGTCTGATAGTTCATACTAAATAGAACAAGGAATATGATCAAAACTAGAAATGATATGGGGTACTGAAGCATGTCGAAGCAGTACACCCTAATTAAAGATAACGAAATGCCCAGTTTTTAGTAAGAAAATACACCCAAAAAAGCAGAATTCGTCCCTCTTTACTTGGGGAGCCCAGTTTTCGGGTCAAGAAGAGCTTGACTTTCATTGGTTAGCAGTACTGGACCTCTACCGGGTTTTGTGCAGATAAAGTAACTAACATCTCCCTTGTACTTCTGTGTTGGAATGTTATCTTTAATCTCAGGAGGTGGAGCCAAAGCTTCCACATCTTTCATGTTCTGAATGCCCGCATCTTGTAATATTGTCTTGTCACCAATAACATAACTGGAAAGTCGCGAGCATATAATATGGATTTATCTCAAGAGTAAATCAAAGAATATTTTATTTGATTTTGGCATGAAAAAGTTAAACATTTATACATATTAATACGTTTGAATCAGTACAGATTCCAGATTGAGAAAGGTACCTGTTCAAGTCAGTATTTGAGTTAGGAGGGAAGTGAAAGAGCAGTCTCTGGAGCAGAAGGGCAGCTGTCTCTCTATTGTGAGAAATGAGAACTGCATTTGGGCCGGCATCAAAGGTATAAGCCACCTGATAAATATCTTATTGTTAGTCGACGTCTGAATAAATAAAACGATAGACAAAGTCCGCTTCACTCATCATTATGTCAGACTTTGAGACGCGATTAGTACTGAAACAATTCTACTTTTGTATTGAGATTTAGGCCCATCAGATTACATTTTGCTCTTTGAAGGCATAGTATGAACAAAAGGTAAACGAGCATGCGTTTAAATTGAATTGCCAATGCATAAACATTATCAAGAAAAGAGGAAAAAGGACAACTCTTTTTTTCAATTAGTTCAAAGGTGAACCTGGGGAATATAGACTCTGTTCAATTATTTCTGGCAGTAAGCTTCATGTCAAAGATAATGAGCATATTAAAACAAAAGAATCAATATTCAGAAGCAGTTTCTTCAACAATCGTTTGCAAGAATGGAACAAGACATGTTCATCACAGTAATTTATTTATTTATTTATTTTTTGGATAGGTAATCAAGAGTTAAAAAGTAGATATTAAAGCCCTCCTTGTATTTTTCTATCTATACATTATCATTAGAACTTAGTAAGTCTTGGGAATCCCATTTATAATTTCTTATTTTGTGATACAGATCCCCGGAGAATTATGCACATTATGTTTTAGAACAAGACCAGGAAAGAGAGGAGAAAAGAACCTGAGGGGTTCCTTCAAAATGATTCCATTTCTCAACACAGCTAATTATCCTGAAAAGATAATGTCTTGACGATATTAAAATCATGATTTATGAAACCATGTTTGAAAAGAAAATGGTGGACAACCACAAGCCCACAAGGTTAGTGACTCAATCTGGAAAGAACACTTGCCTATGAGATGTGTCATTCATGTAGAATATGGGGGGGCTTGTATCCAGGCAGACTGCATGAAATTGATTACTGTCTGCACAAGACAGACGAGCAAAAGATGGAAAATCCCGATTCTTTATTGCTTCCTCCATTTGAATTATGCGTTTGGGTACTACTTCCTATAAGATTACAATATGTAAATGAGAATTGCGGCAAACCTAAGTCTCAATATCAAAGAGAGCAGTTTGGTCATCGGCATCAGACCAAAAAAAAAAAAGGCATATTAGAAATTGCTAAATTCCTTGGAATAAATTGAGAAGCCATGAAGCATATAGCATTACAATATCAAGGAAAAATATAACAAAGTACTCGAGGATTAGGAGGACCATTCTATACCTTTGCTCTATGTTGTATAAGCATACTGGTTTCGACTGTCTCAAGCATCCCTGAGGTACTACTTGTTTCCTTTTGCCTTGAACTTACCTAAAATCAATAGTAGAATCATTTCAATAAAAAATAAATAAAAGCTTTTCACAAAACATTTATCATGGGAAACCCAACCAGTATATCTGCTTCACAAGAAAGAATCCTGATGGCTTTTAGATGCATGACAAGGAGATAAGTAGCAGGACATTTAGTTTTTCCCCCTTTTCAACTTTAAAAGGCACACATGTCAATAAAATAATATATACCTTTTGCATTTTAAATATTGCAGGTTTTAATTCAAAAATTAAACGTACATGTTAAAAAAAATTTATTATGAAATTCAAAACTATAAATAACTATATGAAAAAATATATAAATCGATATTTTATTAGCCAATGATTGAAAATTGTCCCTGCAACATCCTAGCTGTAAAGTGGTCATTTTGTAAGAAAAGTAGAAGAATAGGTGAAATTGTAAATTGTAGAATCGCATAACTAAAACTTGAGCAAGAAAAGGCAACTAGTTCTTTAATCTACTAAAAAAATACTTTTCGAACTAGAACATAATGAGAATAGATACCAAGGAATGCAATAATAGTAAGAGGATGAATATATACAATTGAGATAATAAGAAGAGGAATCAAATGTAAACCAAATTTTATATATTGTTTGGACCTTAGCATTAATTTTACACAACCCGAAAGAGTTATTTTGTTCGCTAAGGAAAACTTTTCCTGGTTTTTAAGAGAAAAAGAGAAAATTGAAGACTTGAGATGTCTGTAATAATGATCTTACATCTTCAGAACTACGTGCACTAAAAAATTGATAATGGATGTTTTATATGTTAAACCATGACCGTTTGAAAGAGAATGGGTACATACGACAGCAATGATTATAACAAGGTCATCCCAATGATTCTCATCTGCAAGTTGAACAGCCACGCTGTCACTCCCATCTTTCTCCTGAAGACATTAGGAAAAAAGGAATTTAAAAAAAAATTAAATTAACAGCCGGTAGCACGCTTTCATTTTATCGAGAAAGCATACACTATAATAAAATCATACTTTTCCCATGATCCACTTCACAAATCCACCATACAGGCTGCGACAAGCACTTCCCGAACCTTGCCTACATGAGAATATGAGAACAATCAGTTTTTATGTTTGCATGATCCTCTTGAATACAAATAAAACAAGGCGTACAGAAACTCTAGAAAATCTCTAAGACAGAGCATAAATTACTAGGGAAAATAACATATGAGAGTCTATACAACAATAAATACTCGTTATCTGTATCCCACCAAACTGAAAATGAAAGCACAAACTGACCATGGATGAAAGTTCATTAAAGAAGTGTACATAGAGATAAGCAAATACCTTGCTATAGCAGAAAGTTTACTTTGATCTTCTTTCACATTCATTAGCTTAGCCAGGCTAAACACTATAAAAGAAAAGAACAAGTAAAAGGTGACTGGTTAAGGGTACTTATCCCAAAACTTCGGCAATCAAACTTTCTATTTCTATAATATTAAAGCAAGCAGACATACAATACGATCAATATACTGTACAAAACATGTAAAATAAATGTACGAGTGTGGTTCAACTAGCAAACTCTTAAAACAAGTTAAGATTTAGCCTCTATTTGAGCCCCATTTTTAGATAATAGATTTTGTAAAAATTGATTTTTTAAAGAATGTGTGATTATAAAGTAGAGAAAAATTTTGAGTTTACGTGCAAAATTATTATATTGGACAATATGCAATCAAAAATGAGTAGGGAAAAAAATGAGTTTTAAAGAATGAAGTAGGGGCTTAAAACTTCATTAAATGTTTGAGGCCTGAAATAAACTATCTTTGCATGGTAATCGTAACTTTTGCAGATAACAAGATCTAACACCTCCTTCTTACATTAAGCCCTTGTTTGAGCCCCATTTTTCAATCAAAATACATTTTTCAATAGTGATTTGACATTATTTCAACCACACATTCTTCAATAAAATAATATTAATACGCAAATCAAAAACTTTTCCTCATTTTTTAACCACATATTTCCTATCAATATACTATTCAAATATTCATTTTCTTCACAAAAATGGGGCTCAAATAAAGGCTAAGTTTTAGTTGATACCATAAAGGGGTCACGTGGGCAGACCTGGTTCTAGCCCAAGGCTACATATGCCCTTGGGCCTCAATCTATAAGGGGGCCCCCAAAAAAAATTAGAAGTCCAAAATAGCCTTGGGCCTCAATATATAAGGGGCCCCCAAAAAAATTATAAGTCCAAAATGACTTTTTTTAACATGAAATTTTCTTTCATTAAATATTTTCTTGAAGATGTAGTAATGCAAATAAAGCAGAAGGATCTTACTACCCAATAATGATTTTATTTATTTATTTTTTTTAAATTATTCAAGTTTAAATTTTGTTCTCTAGATTTGATTGTTTCTTTTGAATTTTTTTTTTTTTTTTTTTT